CCCCAAAACCCCAAAACCCCAAAACCCCATGAAGATGAATTGATGCAATCATTATTAAATTAAGAAATTAATTGTGATTAAAGAATAAAATATCAATCTAATTTATATCAGTTAGGTATGTCATTTGTCCTGGATGAAATAGAATTCTGATTATTATTGAGAGTTCTATTCAGTAAAGTCCTCTTCTGCTACTGATTAGTTTTTGGTCTCTAGCTTATTTGCATGCGGCTGCTAAAATTTAGCTGATTGGATTACACATCTCTTTTGCTTTAATTGAATCTCTTTGAGAGTCTAAGATTTCTAGCGCTGGAATCGTATGATGAGAAGGGTCTTTGCTTTCTAATTTGGCTGTGAGACTCAGCTGCTGTTTTTTAGTTTATTAGTGTCTACTCTGAGGGATTGAATAAGTGATAAGAATCAATTTGCATATTAGAGTTATCACCTCCAAGCTAAATATGCTCACTCAGCTTAAGAGTTTACTTTTCATTGATAAATGAGGCTCGTGGAAGGAGTTTCCCATTTTTAATCTCCACATTCTTGAATTGTTACTAATTTGATTGCTGATCAAATAATTGCTACTCAGAGTTAGCATTATTTGGCTGCATAAAGAAATTGATGTTAGTACTATTGAAGTTGTTATTGATTGTTCCTCTACCAGTTGGGTAGGGACTGAAAGTCTAGAAAGTCTCAGTTTATTGCTGATCTATGACTTCACTCAGATACTCTTTGTTATCAATAGTTAGCTATTGTTGAGAGACTGGAGATAACCCTGATAAATCCATATTCTAACTGTTCATTAGAGGGTCAAACATCTGATTGTATAAATTGTTGAAAATTTAGTCATTCATAAAGAATTTGTCAATAATTCTTCGTTTTTCATGAGCTCTTACCTTATCCTTATATGTGGACCCAAGTGTTATATTATCTTGAGTCAAATTATTGGACTCTGGTGACATAAATCTAGTATCATTTCTGTTTCTGGCTGAAGAAGATCTATCTGTAGAGATGGCAGATCTCAATCTCTTTCTAGATTTTTGAGAATGATCTTATCGTTCTTACTTTACCTGATCTACACACTGTCTAAATATTGCTTCATACTCTGTAAACCTAGTTGCTTGAGACAGCATATTCTTTAAAGAAGTTATCTACGCTTTTTATTGTCCGATCTGTCTGATTTGTCGCTAAATAATCTCGTATTATTTTTTATTCTGTAAGTCTATATACTATTAGATTGCTTAAGCAGTTAAATCAGAATTCTGAAAATTCTTGGTTCTGTGAAGCAGACTCGTAACAAAACTCTTAGTATTAAGCTTCTAGTCATCTTCAACTATTACCTAGGTATTAGTGAAAATATCCTAATTGTCGATTGTATCACCAAATTTTTGCTTTAATACAGGCCCCATTACATTGTTGTAGCTTCTGGCATCCATTGACTTGATAACTTAAGTTTTGTTCATTGTAGCAAATTGAGTGAGATTAGAGGTCAAATCCATAGATTTCATTTTTTCACTCTCAACTTCTGCAATTATCCTTTTGATGCTTTCATTTTGCATCACTTCTCCACTGATTTGCTAGTTTTCAATTTTTTCCTTTTGCTGCTTTATCACATCGACTAATTGTTTTATTTAGTCAGTTTACTTCTAAATTTGAGTCTTCATTTGCATATTTTCTCTTTTGTTCTTTTTCAGAACTTCCACCAAAAACCCTCTGTCATCTTCTAACATCTAAGCGTTAACCTTAGTTTTCTTTAACACGTCCTTATTTTTCTCATAGAGCTTAGAAAGTGTTAGTGCCTCATCTCTAAACCAATGAAACTACTTCTTAAGCCCACTTATAGTTTAATCTCTTTTTAGTCTATATTGCTGCTCACTAAGCATTTTCTTAAACATTATAATTTCCCTCTAGACCTTCATCATATGACCCTATAAAGTTATCAAGTAAAAATTCATTTACCCTATAAGCTGAAAGAAAATCAATTTCCTATTTTTAAAGAATATTGTCTATATACTCATCCATATTCTCTATTTCCTTCATAATGCCATCATAGGCTAACTTTAACTTTTCCTGTCCACTTAATTCTTAATTGATTTAGCTGTATTGCATCATATCAAACTGATCTCTTACACTTCCAGGTTCTTTAGAAGAAGAAAGACCAGTGATGAAAGCCTAATTGATTTCTGGTTCAATCTAAACATCGTAGGATTGATCATTATTTTCCTAGTAATTTTTATTATTATCTTGTAGTATCTATGAGTTAGGTTTATTATGTAATGAAGGTCTTTATGAGTGTGATTGCTCTACGGATTAAATCTGCATATTTCTAATACTGGAACTTATAACTGATTTATTATTATTTATTCTTATCCATTTTATGAATCATTTATTTTACCATGGGGTTTTGGGGTTTTGGGG